ATGCTTTGAAAATTTGACATCCGAGGCCAGGCGTGGTGGGTCATGCCTGGAATCCCAGCACTTTGGGAGGCCAAGGTGGGCAGATCATGAGATCAGGAGTTCAAGACCAACCTGACCAACATGGTGAAACCCCATCTCTCCAACAAAAAAAAAAAAAGAAAGAAAGAAAGAAAGAAGAAAAGAAAATTGAACATCAATGATTAAATGTAATACATTGCTTTGCTTGATATTTCATAATAGCATGCTGTTTGATCTGATTTATTCTCATTGTCAGTTCCAAAGTTTCTTCCCTGTGGTTCCAGTGGGTTAAGTCACAAATGAAGAACAAATTATATTGTGAGAAACACATGACTGGTCTTTTTCTCTTTCTTTCCTGTCCTATTTTTATCATAGCTACAGCTCAGAATAAAAGAGTTCTACAAAATGTGTACCTCTGTGGCCAGGCTGGCATGGCAAGGCAAGAGTGCTGGGATACCCTGGCCAACATGGTGAAATCCTGTCTCTACCAAAAATATAAAAATTAGCCGGTGTGGTGGCACACGCCTGTAATCCCAGCTGTACAGGAGGCTGAGGCAGAATTGCTTGAGCCTGGGAGATGGAGGTTGCAGTGAGCTGAGATTGTGCCACTGCACTCCAGCCTGATCCACAATGCGAGACTCTGTCTCAAAAAAAAAAAAAAAAAAAAAAGAGGAAGAAGAGAAAGGACAGGGAAATACCCAGCACCTGGCCTCACTTTCTCAGCACATAAGTAATTCAAAATGCAAAGGAGTTTTTAAGGTGAGATTCTTCCAAGTGTGACAAAGCTCTTTCCAGTTTGAGAATCCTAAACTGCGTAGTTCTGCCATCGCTCTGCCATTGCAATAGTCAGCCCGGATATAGGCTGTTCCTATAGCCTGGGTTCCAGAGTGAAAGAGATCCTGGACCACAGTGGCATCTGACCCACAGCCAGCATGGAACTCGAGCAAATGAATGATAAACGATCAATCAAGAAGTGAGCCACTGAGACTTGGGGGCGGTGTATTATTGCAGCATAACCCAGCAAAAGCTCACGTGGAAACAATAAACCAGGAGCTAAAGCCAAGAAGAGATTGTGTAGTGAGAGTATCTTGGTCTCTCCAGTGTTAACAAGGATTTCAGGGTGTCCGTTCATAGACATTGCTCGGGGTTCCGTTTAGGATCCTGCTAGAGGGGACAAGCAGTGAACAAGGCAGATGATGTGTCTCGGGTTCACATCCAAGTTCTGGGGGGTTGATGTAGGGCTGTTGGCCCCACAGGGTTGTGGGGTGTCCCTTATGCTGTGCTGAGGTGCAGGATCCAAGAGGTAAAGAGACAGGACACTGAAGAACTGGTGAAGAGCAGCTGGACTCGGGGACCATGCCACAGGAGTGGAGACAGGCGAGGCCGTGAATGCCCAGAAGTGTCTGTATTTATTAGGTACAAGCAGGGGGAAGGGTTGTGAGGTCATCATCTACAGGCTTAGTGATAGGGCATACATAATCACGTGAGTCACAAGCACGGGGGCCACCCCATTATGTCTCCTGGGCAGAGAGGTGGGCCCTGCGCAGTAGGGGACCGTGCTGTACACAGCAGTAAGGGGTTATGTACAGAAAAGGGGTCCACCCCCATTAGGTCACTGAGGCAAGGAGGTGGGCTGTGTGCAACAGGTGTCATGTGTAACACTTCTTATCTGGGGGCTGGAGACTTCAAAGGATTTCTAATAGAAGGCTACTGTAAGCCAATGCAGTGGGAGCTGACAGACTTGTGCTCTTCTCTTAAGATATTTATGGGAGGCTGATTTGAGCTAGCACAGAAGTGAGGAAAGACTGACAGGGTGTCCAGCCGCCGTGACTGGTCACACCAGAGGGGTTCTTCTCCCTCGGTTACTTCCAGGATCTCAGGCCTGAGGCCTATTTTCCACAGGAGCTGGGTGCAAGATACAACAACTCCTTCATCAGGAGGGGACGGTCCTGCTCCAAGCCTGCCATACAGCGTGTGCCCTTTCAGGCAGGGACGCCACCGCCTGGGTCTTTGGTTCTTGTCCTGGTCTGGCTGTTTTCCCATGTACTTGCTTCTCCTGTGTGACTGCTCTAGGCATTCCTCCTGCTACAAACTACTATATGGTTATAGGGAAGGATTATATAAACCAGCACTAAATGTGTCAGTACAGCTCCGACTACATCCGTTATCTGATTATAGAGAAAGATTATATGAAACTAAGTATTATATACATAAGCCAGATATAGTAAGCAGTGAGTTATACTTCAGGCACTGATTGTGCCTGGGGTCTGTGCAGTTCTCCTTCCTTGGTGCCCATGGGGAGTGTTACCCGCAGGTTGAGAGCTTTTCAATTTGGATGTCCTTTAAGAACAAGAAGGAAAAACTGTGAATACGGAATGGGATATGGAGTCTTGGACGCCATCGAGGGGCCTGAAGTTCCTCATTAGCTTCCGGTGCAGAGGGTGGAGCAGAAGGAGTGGGTAATATAGGAGGAGGTGACAGGTACTCTCAGGGGCGGGGAGAGCTATGTTGAAAATTAACAAGGAAATGAAACAGGAAATGATTGTGTGGCTTCTTCAGGCTGGGTAGGATGCTGCTGAATTTATCTGAGCACTGTGATCCAACTAAAACTCCCCTGTGAGTTCTGGAAAATGGCTGCCTGCAAGAGAACCCCTCTTCCCCACATAACTTAGATGCGCGATAAGAGTGATGGCTGCTCCCCTCACTCCCACCCCTGCACCCAGTACCTAGGACAAAGCCAGACATAGACCCTCCAATTCCCATTCTTCTCTCATCAATGAGGAGCCCATCAATAGGAATAAAACACTGGTTAAGCAAACTTGGTGAGGTTTCTCTCTGCCCCCAAGGCTGAGGACCTTTGGTCTCACCTTAGCCTGAGTCAGTCCCTCCTGAGAACAGGCCGGCCAAGGGGTCAACTTTCTCTGATCTATTGTTCTACAAAGGCAGATTCTCATCCCATCTCCCATGCTCCCTCTTCTCTCTCTCTCTCTGACAGAGTCTCACTCTGTCACCCAGGCTGGAGTGCAGTGGCATGATCTTGGCTCACTGCAACCTCCACCTCCCAGGTTCAAGCAGTTCTCCTGCTTCAGCCTCCTGAGTAGCTGGGATTACAGGTGCTTGCCACCATGCCTGGCTAACTTTTTTGTATTTTTAGTAGAGATGTGGTTTCACCATATTGGCCAGGGTGGTCTCGAACTCCTGGCCTCAGGTGATCTGCCGGCATCTGGCCACTCCCTGTTCTTTCTAGCCCTGTTTACTCCTCTCTATAAAGAAAACTCTTTTTGCTGAACCTGAAGACTCTTACAGATCTATGGGCAGAGGCTCTCACGGTTGTCCTCCCCCTCCCACTATTGTGACACCCACCCCCAGGTCGCTGCAATAATGCTCCTCAAAACGCCGCTCCTCCCCCGAGTCCAGATTCGCTTTATATTTGGCAGTGATCACAACGGCCCTCCTTGACAAGATGTTTAAACAGACCGGACTGTGATTTGAGGAAAAATGAGGATTCTCGGAAGTACTTTTAAGAAAATGGATATTTCTAGTTTAAAAGAAAAGAGAAAAAAACCTGTCATGTGCCTATGTTCTTGAGAGGACGGAATGAAAGGAGCCAGAAAGAAACTAAGTAGCTAGGGAAAAGGAGAGAGAGAGTAACACCATGACCTGAGGGAGCTCCTGGGAGAGCGAAGGAGGTGTCCGCCGCGCCCCATCTGTTCCACAGGCAGCATGTCATTGAGCACCGACTGTCCCCCGTCCACTGCGCTCCGTGGCGGGACTCAAGGTGGGCAAAATGAACACGGGCCTGGCCTTGCCGTCTAGAGGGAAAGACAGATATTAACAGAATAATCATTTAAATATGTCGTTTCAAAGAATGGTAATGCATTAGACAGTTACGGGTGCCGGAGGATCCCGAGGAAGCCACAGTTTACGCGACATAAATAGTAATGGCGTTCACCAGCTGTGGGTGTGCGGGCGGAAGGGAAAGAGGAGGAGCATCTGCAGAGACATTGCCCGTGTACAGCCGGCGGGCGGGGGTGTGGGGGAGGGGGCGAGGGGGGAGCCCGCACCTTTGAGGGGCGGGGAAGGCCAGGGTGTTGGGTGGGGAGGCGCCCGGGCCTCTGGGACTGGGCCTGGCTGCGCCAAGCTGGGGCTGCCATGAAGTCCCCTTCATTCCTGGCGAGTGGCCTGTGCCTCCGGCAGGGATCCCTCCTAAGATGACTTCCCACGTTGCGGCCCGAGGCAGCTCTTTGCGGACCCCTCAGAGATGGCTTCTGAGCTCCTGGGGCCCGCGGGGAGGGGCTGGTGAGGGCCGGGCTGCGGAGGGCCTGGCCCTTCTAGGAATGTCGGTGGTCCCGGCACCTAGCTCGGGGAGACCCGAGAGGTTTCCAGGGAGGGGCCCGCGTAGGTCTCCGCCTAATTCCGGGGCTGTCCCTCGGGCTGCGCAGTGGAGCGCTGGGTGGCCGCAGGCTGCGGGGAGCCGGGGAGGCCAAGCTCGTCTGCAGTCAGGAGGTCCCGGGCCGCGTGCAGGGCGCAGCTTCCGAGCGCGGGTGCGGGGTGCGCGGGCTGTCTGGGGGCTGTCCCTGGGGCCCGCGCGCCCACTTGCAGGCGGGGGGTGGTGCAGACACGGGCGGTTCCCCGAGGGCAGTCCGCACGGGTGGTCCAGGCTAGCTCGGACCCGGAGTGAGAGAGTGGCGCAGAGCTGCGTGGAAAGGCGCGGGGCGCCTGCGTGGCGAAGGAACTCCGGCGCGGGACACGCCCGCCAGGCCCGCGGGGCTGCTCCCGCCTCCGCCTCTCCCGGTCTTCCGCGGGGCGGGGGGCGTGTCCGCCGGACGGGGGCGTGGCGGCCTGTGGGGGCGTGCCCATCGGGCGGGGCGTGCTCTCCAGGGGGCGTGGCGTCCGGCGGGGGAGCCTGCCGGCGGGGGCGTGGCGTCCTGGGGTGGGGGAGTGTCCGCTGGGCGGGGTGTGCTCTCCAGGGGGCGTGGCTTTCTGCTCGCGTCCTTGCCCGCTGGGCGCCCTGGGCTGGGAAACGCGGCTGAGCCTGGCCGCGGGCGGACGGTGGCTGCAGCGCGTAGGAGCAGGGGTCGTGCCGGGGTCGCGGCGCCAAGCGCGGGGCGTGCACGCTTGGCGCACGAGCCTGAAGGCGAGCTCCGAGGGGCCCGGGTCGCGGGGCCTGCTGCGGCTGTTCCCGGAGCTCGGCGCGGGGCCCGCGAGGCTCAGGCCGTCCCAGGGCCCCGGGCACCCCGTGGCCGCAGCTGCAGCGGGAGGAGCGCGGCGGCGCGGGGTCCTTGCAGTCGGCGCTTCTCCCGGAAGCCTTCCTCGGGCGGCGGGTGGGAAGCGGGGGCCCGGGCGGCAGCGAGCGGCGTCCTCTCTCCGCAGGTCGGCACCATGAGCCCTGCAGCCCTGCGCGGGGCCCTGCTGAGCTGCCTCGGCCTCGCGTTGCTCTGTCTGGGCGGTGCAGACAAGCGCCCGCGGTGAGTTACCTTGCGAGGTAACGTGGGGCGCCTGGGAGCCCGGCCTTCGAGCTTTCCACGGGGCGCGGGCTGCTGCCCTCTGGGTCCGCGCTCTCTGAGCCTCGGTCCGCGACTGGGAAGGATGGCGGGTAGCCAAGCACGCTCCGGGGTGACCCCTGGGAAGGAGTAAGGGGCGAGAGGGAGTCCTGGACGCACCCAGCAGAGCCCCCCGGGAATGACTGGGTTGTGGGGAGCCCTGAGCACGCCCCGGGGTGACCCCTGAAGGACTGGGGGGTGGGGTGGAGGGTGGGGTCCTGGGTTGGAGCTGAATTGGAAATCCGCAGAGGGCTCCCAGCCTAGGACGCGGCAGGCTTGGTTCCTGCCCTAGAAGTTCTCCCAGAGAAGTCTCGGAGGGGACACTTAATTTTAGCTTCCACTGCATGGAGCGGCGAAACAGCAGTTCTTCCTCTTTTTGAGTATCCTGTTCTGACTCCCTTACCCTGGCTTGCCCTCCCTGTTTTTTTTGTCTGTGAGGCAGCCACCCAAATTAATTAGGGATAAACGGGTGGTGCTGCAAAAATTTCCAACTTTAATTCTGTGGAAGATACGAATATTTGAATTCCATATTTTTTCCTTCTATTTGGGTGATGATCGGGTTAATAGGATTTCATACTTACATAGCAGGTGTGGGAAAGGTGAGTTTTACTTTTTATTTTTACTTATTTTTGTATTTTCGAGACAGGGTCTCACTCTGTCACCCAGGCTGGAGTGCAGTGGCCTGATCTCAGCTCACTGCAACCTCTGCCTCCCGGGTTCAACCAATTCTCCTGCCTCAGCCTCCCGAGTAGCTGGGATTACATGAGCACACCGCCACACCTGGCTAATTTTTGTATTTTTAGTAGCTGTGCAGATCTTGAACTCCTGACCTCAGGTGATCTGCCTACCTCAGCCTCCCAAAGTGCTGAGGTTACAGGCATGAGCCACCATGCCCTGCCAGAGTTTTACTTTTTAAACACCTTTGCTTTTTTTTTTTTTTTTTTTATCCTATACATTAAAAGGTAGCATTATATTCTGAAAAAGAGCTACATTTATGTCCTTGTATATTGGCCATGAGGTTCAGAGTCTCACTAGGGAAGTCTGTGGTGTGCTGGCCAGTGCTGGCTGAGTGTCGACTGCTAGTTCACACCCAGGTGTGGGACCTTTGAGCTCTCTGCACTGCAGTTTCCTCTTCTGTAAAGTGGAAATAGTGACAGTCTGCCTCATAGAGTTGGCTGCAGGAGAAATCAGTTAAGGTACAGAATGTACTGGGAATTATGTCTGGCTGGAAGTAAACGTTCACCAAAAACAGGCCGTTATATGTGGATCCCCCACTCCTCCCATAATTCATGCAGCTGATATAATTAGATGGTCTCGAGCAGGCAAGATTTTCGAGAACAGCTGATTCAGAGCACGAGGGCTTCGTAGATCAGTGGGCATTTCCCCAAGTTCTAACTGGGTTTGAGACCTTGGTGATTTTTCGTTTTTCCTCTTAGTCTTTCTTTAGCTTCTCCATTACTTTCTCTGTGAGTAGGGGAGGGTGTGTGTGTAGGGGAGGAGGGGGTCTCCTACACTTACACCACTCTGCCTGGCTGTAGATGGAGAGTTTGTTACAAATGCTCTGAGTCTTGGTATTTTATTGTCAGCGTATTGATAGTCTCATCTTCCTGGGTATTGCTTAGCTTTCCAACTACGCATGTAAAATAAAGTTTTTGCACCGAAAGATAAAGTTTTAATGCTTTTCTCAGCTCTAATTCTCACCCTGCAGCTCATCTTTTTTTTTTTTTTTTTTTTTTTTTGAGACAAGCTCTGGCTCTGTCACCCAGGGTGTAGTGTAGTGATGTAACCTGGGCTCACTGCAACTGCCATCTCCTGGGCTCAGGCTGTCCTCTTGCCTCAGTGCCTTTCAAGTAGCTGGTACTGCGGGTGCATGCCACCACACCTGGCTAATTTTTGTAGAGACAGGGTTTCACCATGTTGCCCAGGCTGGCCTTGAACTCCTGAGCTCAAGCAAACCTCCTGCTTCCGCCTGGTGTGAGCCACCATGCCCGATCGCTTTTTTTTCTTTTATACCGAGAGCTTGCGTAATTAGTTCCAATGTACAACTACGTTTTCACACCGTCTTAATTATGAATTCTATACAAATTTAATGGGACTCAATTATTTGCAAAAGCTAATGTGTAACAACTTGATTTTTTTACTTTGAATCTTCTCTTCTAAAATGTGATTTATCCTGAAGTGTCTGCTTGACTTATATTCCTGTGTGCTGCTGGCTTTTCCCATGTGTGTTTTTTGCAAGCTGCATTTTTTTCTTCAGTCTCTGTTAAGCTTTGCAAATCTGGTTAGAGGCCTCCTTCAGTGAATAAGCTGGGGCTCCGCAGTGGCTTCTCTGAGGTCTTCGAGTCAGGCGAGTTTTGCAGTGCTCAGGTTTGTGATGGAGTGTGGACCCATGTTCTGGGTATCACATGTGATACAGTGCTGTGTACTAGCATGCTCTAGTTAACATTCATGAAGCAGTGCACATACTGTGTTCAAGTTAACAGTCCTGGTGGCACGCCTGAGGTAGCCCCCTAAAATCAAATGACAAATTCTGCAGAGAAGCAAGTGAAATCTAAAAACTGAGTCAGGGTAGTGATGATAAATAGCCTTATGCTAATTCAGGTTATGTTTTGCTGCTGAATGAATTACAGAGAGCTTCCAGGTTTCAGGCCTCTGCGTTTCACAAATGCAGGGGAGGGATCGTGGGCCTGTGTTTCTCTTGAGCATCCTGAGGAGAAAGTTGTTCAGTGGCTTCCCTCCAGTGAGGCCCTCCTGGCTGCACTCCCGGCGTGCCCCGCCCTTCCTCCTCTCCCTCCTCCTCCGCTCAGCACTGCTTGTGCCCCCACATGTGCCTTCTTAGTGTAGGGGTTTATTGCCTTCCTCTCAGGAGTGTGCGCAGCAGCGGGGCCGGCAGTGTTCCTTGTCCCACAGGCCCAATGCTGAATGAATGACTGAAGGGATGGATGGGTGGATGCATTTTTTTCTGTAACTTTAAAAAAGTTCTTGAAAAATACATTTCTTGTGTTTTAACAGTGACAGACATGAGTGGAAAAAACTGATTTTGGTTCAGCATTGGCCTGAGACAGTATGCGAGGTGAGTGTTTCTCTCTTGACCGGCCCTGGGACCCGGGAGCGCTGTGAAGAGGGGTCTGTGTGCCCGTCCAGGGCACCTACGCTGCTGGTGCAGGAGGTGGGCACTGCTGCCCCAGGGGGTGCAGGCTTTGCTCTCTGCGTTTCCCACAGGAAAGGATCCCAGCTTCTGGCTTTGAACTGGGTTCCCTGAGGGATAGAGTTGGGCGTGGCGGAGGTGAAGTTACAGGTTTCATGGTTACCATTTGGTTCATTCATCTACAGAAAATTGCATTCCTTCTAGTGTATTATATTGAACAAACATTCCAATTACTGAACTATACATAATGTTACATACTTTACATTTTATGATAACAAAGCCAATTGCATTTATATGTTGCAATACATTTCAGAAGGAGCATTCGCTCTGCAGGGAATAAGGTACCTCTCCTTTAGCACCTTAGTGCAATTCATTGTGGTGCTATTTGGTTTTACCTGAATGTTTGTTACTAATCTTCCTTTCATAGAACCTCTATTTTTTTATTCTAAACTTGAGTTTGAGTCCTTGTTATGTTCATCGTAAGGTAATGAATGGTTGGCATGTTTAAAGATATTCCTCTTCCAAATCTCAGCACTTTAAAAAAAATTCCAAATTTTTAAACTTGCTTCCTAATAAGTGCGCATCAGTCTGATTATTTTGTTTGTCTTTAATAGAATGCGGATGCATTGGAGTCAGTTTTAAAAAAACAATACACGTATTTTGGACAACCCTACATATTTAATGCTTTCAAAATAAGATAAAAACATTTTATATGCTAACAGAATATACTTGTTACAAGTTAAAGTCCAGATGTATACACAGGATTGATGACTCCTATTGTTTATTTTTTTTTAAATCACAGGAAAATATTTATTGATTTAATTATCTCCAAATGATAAAAGCATGTATTACTCATTTTACATTTAAAAGTTTTCTTATTTATTCCAAGATGGTTTGAAGGTGCAAATGTGAAACTAAATTAGGGGGAATGATGTATAACAGTTATAAAGTATCACGTTGTATTAAAGAGCTTACTGAGAAAAAAAAGAAGTTACAGGTTTTGCCCTCTGGCCTCTTCCTGTAGCACTGAGCAGTAGTGACTTTCTCTTCTACTTCTTCTGTTGACAAATGAAAATGAAGTTTTGCTTATCTGGACCAACTTACGCCCTTGATCCTTTCTCTCTCTCTCTTTCTTTTTTTTTTTTTTTTTTTTTTTTTTTTTTTTTTGAGATGGAGTTTCGCTCTTGTTACCCAGGCTGGAGTGCAATGGCACGATCTCGGCTCACCGTAACCTCCGCCTCCTGGGTTCAGGCAATTCTCCTGTCTCAGCCTCCTGAGTAGCTGGGATTACAGGCATAAGCCACCATGCCCAGCTAATTTTTTGTATTTTTAGTAGAGACGGGGTTTCACCTTGTTGACCAAGATGGTCTCGATCTCTTGACCTCGTGATCCACCCGCCTCAGCCTCCCAAAGTGCTGGGATTACAGGCTTGAGCCACCGCGCCCGGCTCTTTCTCTTTCTTTCTTTTTTTTCTTTCTTTTGAGATGGAGTCTCTGTCCCCCAGGCTGGAGTGCAGTGGGGAGATCTTGGCTCACTGCAACCTCTGCCTCCCGGGTTCAAGCCATTCTCCTGCCTAAGCCTCCCAGGTAGCTGGGACTACAGGTACCTGCCACCACGCCAGGCTAATTTTTGTATTTTTAGTAGAGATGGGGTTTCACCACGTTGGCCAGGCTGGTCTGGAGCTCCTGACCTTGAGTGATCCACCCACCTTAGCCTTTCGAAGTGTCAGGATTACAGGCATGAGCCACTGTGCCTGGCCCACTCCTGCCCATTTCTAATACTCGAGGTTGCTCCGTTTTCAGGCGTTTTGCAGCTCAGGCATTCAGTGGTTGATACCTCTCAGCTGAATCAGACTCTCCTTTCGAGATCAAACGTGAAATGACGCTGCCTCCTACAAAAGGCAATTTGAGGGAAAACACTGAGCAGGGTGGACCCTGGTGCCCGCGAGGTTCCTCCGGCTCAGACTTGTGCTGTCACTTGCTGTCCCTGCTGTGTGTGGCCAGGCATGGGCTGTACTTCATCCACTCCCATAGCCTATGTATATTTCTGGATGACTATTTTGGATAAACTCAATTTTAGCTAAAAAATTTGAAGCTCTTTGAAAAATGCTGAGACTTTTTTTCTCTATGAATTTTTTATGATGGTGATTAGGGATGCACTCCTATTCTTATCTTTTTATTTTTCTGGCTCCAGATTTTTGATACTTATTATTTCACTAATCTATTTAGACTTGGTACCTGAACAAGCTTCAGTCTAGCAGGGAACTCTCAGCCTTTTGTTCTTAAACATGTATTTTTGGGTGTATGTTAAGCAAATTATCTCTGGGCAAATGAGAGTGTTTCCATCAGACTGGCTTAACAAAAATGGCTTGCTTTTTTCTTGAGAGGAGTTCTTGTCACCCAGGCTGGAGCGCAGTGGTGCAATCTCAGCTCACTGCAACTTCCATCTCCTGGGTTCAAGCAATTCTCCTAACTCAGCCTCTGGAGTAGCTGGGACTACAAGCGCCTGCCACCATGCCCAGTTAATTTTTTTATTTTTAGTAGAGATAGGGATTTACCATGTGGATTCACCACATTGGCCATGCTGGTCTGGAACTCCTGACTTCAGGTGATCCACCTGTCTTGACCTCACAAAGTACTGGGATTATAGACATGAGCCACTGCGCCCAGCGCATAAAAGCACCTGTTTCTGTTAAGTGAAATGTTTGAGGATAGGTTTACATCCAGCCCTTGTGTAGACTCCTCATGGGTGTATTGTGGCAAGCAATTTATTTTGAACTAACACTGGTTTTAGCCTGTGTTATTAGCATGGTACCTGTATTTTGTTGGCGTGTGTTGCAAGAAGTAGGATTGCTAAATGTCTTTTAATAAACAAGGAGCCAATCATTTTCTTGTTATATTTTCTCCCTAGGAAGTTCAAAAGGACTGTAAAAACCCTCCGGATTACTGGACGATACACGGACTGTGGCAAGTGTCTCACACAATTAACACAGGCAGAAGCTGCTCACTGGGAAGGCTAGCTTGAATGTAGTCTTAATGTTAATTCTTGTTATTTTCGTTAGGAGTTCATCCAATAGGCCAGATTCTTATTTAAAAGTATCTTCCGTCTTTCTAGTAGAAACCTGATTTTCTTGTTCTTTAATTCTGCCTTCATAGAGCAATAACACTTTTTTTTTTTTTTTGGGGGGGGATGAAGTCTTGCTCTGTCACCCAGGCTGGAGTCCAGTGGTATAATGTCACCTCACTGCAACCTCTACCTCCCAAGTTAAGTGATTCTCCTGCCCCAGCCTCCCAAGTAGCTGGGGCTTCAGGCATGTGCCACCACACCTGGCTAATTTTTGTATTTTTTGTAGAGATAGGGTTTCACCATGTTGGCCAGGCTGGTCTCAAACCCCTTACCTCAGGTGATCCACCCACCTTGGCCTCCCAGAGTGCTGGGATGACAGGTGTGAGCCACCACACTCAGCCAATAATACTTTTTAAAATATGTGTTTACAGAATGTGGACACCTGTTTGGGTCAGTACATTTTAATTTTCTCATTTTGTTCTCTTGTGGTGCATTATAAATAACTATGAAAATACATAAATGTGTGTAACTATTGTACACACTTCAGAGACACTCAAATTTATTTTTCTGGTTTTGTCTGCCTTTCGTTTAGTAAATTCTTTCCTTTTTTTTCTAAAGGAAACTTTTACTACAACCTGTTCCCCAATAGTAAATTCTTTTCAACATGGACATACTTGTGACGTTGGACTGTGTACATTAATCACCCCATCCAGAGGATCAGTTTTGACCTGATGTCTTGATGCCAGGATTGAAAAGGGCCCTTTTAGCTGAATTGGTGCCTCCTGGCTCCTTAGGAAGAGGGATTGGTGGAAATCAAGTTAAACTGGGAGACGTGGGTACTTGGCTTTGGGTTTCACTTTCTCCTTAGGCTAGTCAGATGACGTTGACCTCCTGTCTCTGGGGCTTCTGGCTTTCCTGGACTTTGTACGGTGTCCTCTCCCCTGCTGTTGTCAAATGCTCTGATTGTGCCTCTGCTCCTTGTAGCTATTTCATTTCTGAGCCTGGAATGAAGCTTTGCAACGCTGTCCGGTCCATTGGGTGAAATCAGGCAAGTTTGAGAAGCTGGTCTAGCTGTTGACCCTGAAGACACTCTCCTCCCTGGCCTCTTTGGGGTTCTGAGGGTTCAGGGTCTTAGGGAGCAGATTGGTGACCCTGTGGACTAGGCAGCACTCACAAATGAGAGTTGATATGTCCAGAATTGGACGTGTGAGGATGGAGTTAAAGTTCTAAAGCAGATGGTGTGAGTGCGTTTGCTACTAAACATGAAATAAATATCCTGCAAGCCGATCTTCTGCATACGTCAGACACTTTCTGACATGGTCTATCTGTCATCTCCTGGAGTCCTCCTCCCCACTGAAAGGACAGACTGTCGCTGTGCTCATGCTTCGGCTGTGGGGTGGAGATTGGCCAGGGGTCAGGTCACTTAGGTCCCAGTGCTAGGGAGCAGCAGAGGCTGCTGTCCACCCAGCCAGGGTGATCCCCAGAGCCCCGGCTCCTAGGTGCTACTAGGTGGTCCACGGTGCTTCCTTTACTAAGCAGCGGTCTGTTTTCATTACTCCTGGATGCTTTTCACAGTTTCTTTTCTAAGAAATTCAAACTCACTGCTTTTATCTGCACCTTCTTTCTTAAGCATCCTCCATGGGATAAGGAATTCCCAATTAGAATTTCTCTTTCTGCTGATCCTGGTGGCTCACACCTGTAATCCCAGCACTTTGGGAGGTGGAGGCAGACAGATCACCTCAGATCGGGAGTTCAAGACCGTCCTGGCCAACGTGAAGAAACCCCGTCTCTACTAAAAATACAAAATTAGCTGGGCATGATGACGCATGCCTGTAATCCTAGCTACTTGGGAGGCCGAGGCAGGAGAATTGCTTGAACCCAGGAGGCGGAGATTTCGGTGAGCCGAGATTGCGCCGTAGGACTCCAGCCTGGGCAACAGGAGGAAAACTCCATCTCAACAAACAAACAAATAAATAAATAAAAATAATTTCTCTTTTTATTTTTTTCAGACTTTAATGAAAGTGTTTTCTAAGGTCACGTAGAAGCTGCCTAACCAAGACTAATATGTGTTATTTTCTCTTTTAAATTTGAATTTCAAGGCCCGACAACAGTGAAAACTGTAATGGATCGTGGAAGTTTAATTTAAAGGAGATTCAGGTATTGACTTCTAATTATATTTCTACTGCAGAATGTTGACCTAGATTCTTCACAAGTGTGCCTTCAAAGTCATGTTTACAATTGTGGGGTCATGAATGTGTTCACCAGGATTGAGCCCGTAGTGCTGTTTTAGTAAATATTGCTATCTCTACCCCATACGTTGTGCACATTGGCCTCTCTCCTCCACCCCCTGCCCTGTGCCCAAGCCACTGTATGAGGGACCTGAGTGAGGGGCTCCCGCCGGAGCAAGCTCTGACACTCCCCCGTGCAGACCCGGTGCAGACCCTGAGGCTTGCCCACCAGTCCCACCTCGTCCCGGGGCCCAGGACTCCTGGGTCAGGTGACTGACGGGAGAATCTGGTTGGTGTGCTGTATTTCGATTCTCAGAGAGCACAGGCCTAGGGCTGTCCTCTCTGACCGTGGGCGGCTGGGTTTCTGAGCCGGGAGGGCCTGCTGGGCCTTTGCAGTATAAGGGCTTGATTAAAGAGAACTCACAGGGCAAGAATTTGTTAGCAGTACTAGCAGAGGCATTCCTTTCAGATACCCGCACCTCATATGGCATACGGAGTCTATGCACTTCACTCTCGTGCACACGCCCTCATCTTTCCTTAGGGGTGCCAGTGCATGTCAGGGTAATGTCCTGGACCCCAGGGAGGGGGGTAACCGGGGCTGTCTTTAAAATGTGGGGTAGAATTGAAGGATTTTTAGGAATTGTGGCTCCTTCCAAGGGATGGTATGTCTCCCAAGGTCATTAGTTCCAAATCCATCACAAATTCGAATCCCTTTGAAATTGTTTTTGTTTTCCTTCCCATGAAGACCGTCTGTGGGATGAGCCAGGAGGCTGGAGAGGTCAGAGGCCACCGTGAGACTTAGAAGGGCGCCCCAGAGCCGGCTGCTGTCTCTGGCTCCTCACGCAGACTCCTCCTCTGAGACTTACTTGGGGAGTGGGCTCTGGGGAGGCAGGATGAAGAGCACGCTTCAGGATACGTTGAGTTCAGAGGGCCCTTGAGACCTCCAGGTGGTGACACTGAGAGACTTCAGGGTCGGAGGAAACGTGGCTTTAGGCATAATTAGCATGAGGATGGAAAATCAAAATGACAGGTGTGGGCATGGACATGGGCATGTGGACATGGTGGGTGAGGGGACAGGGCTGACAGGTGTGGGCGTGAGTGGGTGAGGGGACAGGGCTGACAGGTGTGGGCATGAATGGGTGAGGGGACAGGGCTGACAGGTGTGGGTGTGAGTGGGTGAGGGGACAGGGCTGACAGGTGTGGGTGTGAGTGGGTGAGGGGACAGGGCTGATGGATGTGGGTTGGCTAAGGGGACAAGGCTGACAGGTGTGGGCCTGGTGGGCAGAGGGGACAGTGCTGTTGGAGCCCAGTCTTAACAGCCAGGTGAAGAGGGGCGTGTGACCGTGCAGCTGGAAAGACGAAAGCCCAGGAGAGGAGAGAGTCGTGGAGAGGCACCCCTGGGGCTGCATATCCCCGGGATGTCTGGGACAGGAAGGCTGAAATGCCTTTTGGGTGGGGGTGTGGCAGGTTGTGGCTTGTCGTGGGTCTGTGGTGGCCTGAGTCGCCACTCCTCAGAGCAGCCCGGGCTTCCTTGTTGCTAGTGGTAGCTCCAACTTTGCATTGTCCCAAACAGAAGTAGCCCAGTTTGTGCACTCAATCATATTGTGCCCTAGACCATCCCAGAAGGCTGGTGGGCTGAAGCCAGTGTGGTGAAGCCAGGAAAGGTGGAGTTGGGGGCTGGAGGGGAGGAGCATGGGGACAGCTGCACCCACATGGGCAGGGGCGGCGTTACGAACGGGCAGAGGAAAGGACCCCTTGTGTAGGGCGCTAGAAAACAGGAGAAAGGGAAGGCAAGTGGTTATCTGAAGTTTGTTTAACACCTTTTTACAGACTTTTTTTGGGGTGTTTTGGTATAGAGGGTGTGTAGAAATTGCAAAGTAAACTCCAGCCCTGTCAGATTTAGCATGACCAGTGCAGTGCAGAGCCCGGGGTGCCCAGCTCACACAAGCTCTTCACTGGGAAACAGCTTGTCCTTTGTTTGTTTTAATTGACGTTGTTTTTTAGAGCAGTTTTAGGTTTACAGAAAAATCGAATGGAGATTACGGACAGTTCACTTCCTTCCCCGGCAAGTTTCCCAGTCACTAAGGTCTTCCCTAGTGTGCTGTATTTGTTACAATTAGTGAACTGATACTGACACTTTATTATTAATTAAAGTATAGCATTAACATTAGGTTTACTCCTGTGTTATACAGTGTTGTGGGTTTGGACAAGTGCAGGAGCAGGAGTCACACACACAGCGCAGTATAGACAGACCCGGGCTTGAGTCACACACAGCGTGGTGTAGGCAGACCCGGGCGTAAGTCACACATAGCGTGGTGTAGACAGACCCGGGCGTGAGTCACACACAGCGCTGTGTAGACAGACCCGGGCGTAAGTCACCCAGCGCGGTGTGGAGAGACCTGGGCGCGAGTCACAGCGCGGTGTGGAGAGACCCGGGTGTGAATCACACACAGCGCGGTGTAGACAGACCCGGGCGTGAGTCACACACAGCGCGGTGTGGACAGACCCGGGCGCGAGTCACACACAGCGCGGTGTGGACAGACCCGGGCGCGAGTCACACAGCGCGGTGTGGACAGACCCGGGCGTGAGTCACACAGCGCGGTGTGGAGCAGACCCGGGCGCGAGTCACACACAGCACGATGTAGACAGACCCTGTTCCAGCCCCCTGAGCCACACTTTCCCTTCTTTCCTCCCGCTGAACCCAAGGCAACTGCACATCTCATTCCTGTCTCTTCAGACTTCGTTTTCCAAATTGTCACCTCATTGGAATCACCCGGTGTGTGGCCTCGGCAGGCTGGCTTCTTGCACTTAGCAGTATACATTTTCACTTCTCCAGTGTCTTCTCATGACCTGACAGCTCACTGGCTTTTGTTACTGAAAGTATTCCACTGTCTGGATGTACCACGCTTTACCTCTTCACCTGTAAGAGCTTGTATTTTCATGTGCAGTTTTATGATTCCTCATATTGCACTTGTAGATGTGTCTTAACAATTCATACAAAATAAGTGTTGGATTATTTTATTCACCAAAGTATTGTTAATTAGCAGAGCTCAATTTTTCGAATGTATCAGTTTACCAAATTTAGCTTCTGCGTTTGAGTTTATTAAGATCCCGTGTAGACCTTTTTTGGTTTTTAATTTTTTTTTTTTTTTTTTTTAATGCATAGGATCTTTTGCCGGAAATGAAGGAATATTGGCCTGATCTCATTCACCTTTTCCCCAATCGCAGCAGCTTCTGGTAAGTCCCAGCCTCGGAGTGCTGTCTGAGCGGGTGTGGGGAGTGTAATGAATCGCTCTCAGTGGGAACTGTGGGAAGCAACGTAACAGAATCTGTCTTTCGGGGCTGAGCAGGTTGAACAACCTTTCAGGAGCTATGATTCTGTTATGGCATCTTTGGTGCCTTTCTCCAATGTGTAATCAAATGAAAGCAAGTGGAATTCACCTTATAAGCCTGTTTTTTAAGCTATGTGATATTTATTACTTTGCTTTGAAACTTTTCTCAGCCAGTCACAATGGCTCATATCTTTAATCCTAGCACTTCGGGAGGCTGGGATGGTGGATTGCTTGAGCCCAGGAGTTTGAGACTTGACAAAACCTTGTCTCTACCAAAAATTTTCAAAGTCAGCCGGACATGGTGTTGCACACTATGGTCTCAGGAGATGAAGGTTGCAATGAGCTGTGATCATGCTGCTGCACTCCAGCCTGGGTGCCAGGGTGTTATATGTAAATTTTTGGTGCCACAAAAGAAGTAGCACTTGAATATAAATTTAATTTTCTCAGCAAGGCAACTTTACTTTCTGCAGAAACAGTGCTCCTGTTAGCCGTCTTGCCCCCAGAGGACCCTGAACAAAGGAGGCAGGGACATTTATAGCTAACATGTCTGCCCTGCCTCTGTGTCCTGATTCCATTGGCTGAAACTGGACTTCACAGTCTAGGCTGCACCCAGTTGGCTAACAGTTTAAACCTTTTCTAAAGAGATAAAGGCAGAGGAGAACAAAGAAAAAGAGGAAGTCACTTGAGGAGTGCTTAGAGAAGCAATGACATTTCCAAATAACGAAGGGGAATAAGCTGTGACCTAAGACTCACCTGGGCTTGTCCAGGCATGTCAGGGCAAATATCTAGGTTAAAGTGTACGAACTAAGAACACGGATTCACTTATTTCTTTATCATGACTAACAGCAACTTTATTAGCAAAAGCCTTAAAGTAAATTAACTATTATTTATTCGTAATGAACTAAGAGGAAAACTTTGAAGAGAAACCTTTTATTTATTCTTATTTCCTACACAGGGTGAGATCCTGTCTCAAAAGAAAAAAAAAAAAGAAAAATAGAAATGTTTTCCTCTGAGGCTCACCAAAGTCAAATGCTTGTGTGTCTAACAATTAGTCCATATCAGACAGAAGAGAAAATTTCTTAAGGAAATTGTGCTCCTGTCTTGAAATATATTAAGAACATGCCTTTAGTCACAGCTACTGAGGAGGCTGAGGCAGGAGAATCGCTTGAACTCAGGAGATGGAGGATGCAGTGAGCCGAGATTGCATCACTGTACTCCAGCCTGGGCGACAGAGCGAGACTCCGCCTGGAAGAACAAAACAAAACAAAAGATGTCTTCTAAGATGTTAATCTCATGCCTCTGACCTAGGGAGGAGACAGAGTGAGACTCGGCATGTGAGGCTGAGACCTCAGTCACAGCGAAACACCTTCAAGCTCAGCAGAAGCTCCCCAGGATATAAGTGCCAGGTTGAATTCAAGATAGCTTTTAAAGTCATTGCTTTTTCAAGAAAATAAAGTTGAATTCCTTATATTAACATTATATTAACTGAAGGTAATTATTTTCTATATCCCACTTCAATATTGCAATTTATAATTCAGATTATAACCCATCAAATTCTGGGCAAGAAGATTAATTTAACCTAGAAATATGTTTGTGTATAATTTTCAGGAAAATTAAAAGTTAAGTTTAGAAAAACTTTTAAAAATAAAACTAAATGGAAGTGATGTCCCTCTTCGTCTCTTCTTTGGTTCATCGGTGTGGCAGTGAAGTGGTCTCAGGGTCCAAGGACCCTCAATGTGTGCACTGAATCCCCCTTAAGTACGGAGAACCACTCTTAATGAAAATATGGGTGGTGCGTGGTTCAGGCTCAGTCACTTGTCCTGCACAAACCTGTGTTCTAGAAAATTACTTCAAAATCATGGCCGTAATGAGTTGAAATGGAATAAGTTAGGGAAAAAAAATATCAGTTCACAGTGTACTTCAGAAGATGAGTCTATAGTGAGTGAGTACATGAAAGAGTATTTTTCCAGTTGTTACAATGTTCCGTGATAGAGTCTGTCAGATTTTAGCCAAATGGCTTAAAATAAATCAGCAAGCACACAAAGGCCTCCAGTGAGCTGGGTCTTCAGCATTTAATCAGAACAGTGTGGGCAAAGTATGCGCTTACGTTGTGCTCCAGTAAAGGCAAAATCGCTTACTTTAGGGAGGAGCTCCTTCCTGTCTGGGCTGTGTCACGCAGTCGTGTGCCTTTCGCTCAGGTCACGTGACTTGCTCCACGGGGTGGCCTCTGGATTCTCCACTTCTGCCCCTTTGGCAGAGGAAAGGGAGGCTCTGTCAAAAAACGTTTTTCTTTTTCATCTCAAGTAGAATCAATGTGCAAAATAGGGTGTCTTGTATGCCTTGGTGCTCAGGATAATTCCTTAAGGTTAGCCATATTGAAAACTATTACGTATGCATCCCTCTACAAAGTAGGTATTTTTGTTTTTTATTCTTGTAAGAAAAAACCAGATTTGGGTCATGTGGACTTGGTGCTGCAGCACTGCTGTGGAATGTGTCTTTGGGCATAACCGGCCGGGGGACTGGCTGCCTCTTGTGGCTGAGGTGGGCCAGGCGACACTGGGCGGCTGACCCCAGGACATCTGCTCCTGGCCGCATCTGCGCTTGGTGGATGAGTCAGGGCATTTCTCAGCAGGGAGGGCAATATGCTGAGTCACTTTGCGTTGGTGACTGACCCTTTTGATGGTTAAAAAAAGGTCCAGTTCCAAGTGAAGTGTGAGTGAATGTGGTGAGCTTTGTGAATATCAGTCTTATCTCCAACATCTCTTGAGTTAAGCTTGTTCCAAGAATAATGGTGGCTGACATTTATTGTTTATTGTGAGCAAGGAACTGTTTTCATTCATGTGGAAGGGCTCGGGGCATCTCATCTCACCTGCAGAATTATCCCTGTTTTATAGAAACTAAGTCACCTGGAATTCAGGTTACATTTCAATTAGTTTAAAATAATTTCCTTTTTCTACCCCACAGAATATAGGAAGCTATCAGGTAATTCACTCTGGAATGTATTTGAGATGAAGATAGTTACTCATCCACTTTTATCCTTCCTGTTTTCAAATTTTCATTGTTTTCTGAGATCAAATCCGTAGCAGTCATCTAAAACTATTATTTTGGATGAATTTTGCCAATGAATTAATGCACTTTTAGATTGCATTTTTAAGACTGCATATAAGTGCTTTATAAGTGGTTGCATGAATGTTATTTATTAAAACGTCATGGATTCATCGCTGATAAAGCTGAGGAAAATGGGGATTTTGTCTTTTCATGCTAACAGGGGTAAACATCTGAATGACACACCCGTCATTCTGAAGGCGGCTGTACATTCTCGTCAGCAGCTGACTGGGTGGCAGCCCAGTGCAGTGGGAAGGGTGCTGACCTTGGACTTGAGAGTGGCCTTCAAGGGCAGGCTCTGAGTGACCTTCAGCAAGTCCCCTGGTCCTTCGAGGCTTCTGTTCCCTGTCTCTAACCTAGCAATGATATTTTCACCTTGCAGAGTTTTGAGAACAAGTGAAGAACGTGAAAGATTTTTGTAAACCTTTAATCTGCACGAAAATGTAAGGAATTATCAATAACCATGTTTTTCTGGAATACAAATTGCGGTTCAGTTGCAGCCTTTTGGGTAGGCTGTTATAGTTGTTCTTATTGTCCTCCATGTAGAATGGACATAGAAACTAGAATTTGTAGAAGCTGAAATAGAAAATGGGCCTGAGGCGTTTCCTGGTAATTAGCTCTCCTGCCTTTTTGTGGCTAGCTGCTTAGAAATGACACTTAGTGCCAGTCTGGGAAATTCCCTGGTTGGGAGGAACCAGGAACTCACTGCCAGAGACTGCACGCTGCTTTGTGAGCCGGTGGGGGCTGGAGCGGTATCACGTTCTTTTTCCTCAGCTTTGATTTGCTGTTAATTGAGCAAGCTGTAATTGTAGAGGTGAACTGAAACTGATTGTTTAATCGTGGGGGATTTAAGTAATTGCCAATGTTGTAAATAAGGAATTTTATCCTTCCTACTTTGTAAAAGAAATGACATGCCTACTGCATGGGAGTATTCTGTGCTGAGAGAAAACATGCTTGAGCATTTTAATTGAGAATCAGTTTCACGACCTTTTTTTTTTTTGAGATGGAGTTTCTCTTTTGCCCAAGCTTTAGTGCAATGGCGTGATCTTGGCTCACTGTAGCCTCTACCTCCTGGGTTCAAGCAATTTTCCTGCCTCAGCCTCCAGAGTAGCTGAGATTACAGTTGCTCACCACCACACGCAGCTAATTTTTTTGTAGTTTTAGCAGAGACGAGTTTCACCATGTTGGTCAGGCTGGTTTGGAACCCCTGACTTCAGGTGATCCACCCCCCATCAGCCTCCCAAAGTGCTGAGATTACAGGCATGAGCCACTGCACCTAGTCTGTTTCATTACTTGTAAGTGGAGATGTTTTTCTCATCCTCTCAGGAATCATGAGTGGCGTAAGCATGGGACCTGTGCCGCCCAGGTGGATGCCCTCAACTCCCAGAGGAAGTACTTCGGCAGAACCCTGGAACTGTACAGGGAGCTGGACCTCAACAGGTGGGTGCGCCCTTCCTTCCCCTGGCTGCACTTCCCAGTGGGGACCTCTGCTGTCTCCCAAGCCTGACGGCCTGATCCAGGGGAATGAGTGTAGACTATGCTGCCCTCTTCAGCGGCTTCTGCATGTGCGCTGTTCGGCTAGTGGGATCATTCCTGAGGAACGTTCTGGGCCTACCAAGCCTTTCTGGATCATTCTACGTCATGATCACACAGAGGGGGTGCAGAGTATTGGGCCTCCTGTGAGGGCATCATCTTATCATCAGAGTCAGCCCTAGGGAAAACAAGGACTCAGACCAGCGCATGCGTTTCTCAGCCGTGATTCCCGGTAAAGGATAGAGCATTAACAGGTCATTTCCTTAGAAGGACGCACACTTGGGAAGTCTGTGGGTCTTTGCTGCAGAGCTCCTGGAACAAGCAGGCAGGAAAGAGATGTGGGCCAGCGAGCGTTCTTTAGGCTCCAGAAATGACCCAAGCCTGCCCGAATTGTCCCTGCCTGCCCTCACTTCATTTCTGGAGAAGGGGAATATGTTGTCACTACTCAAGCCAGTAAACATGTAAAACAAAGTGCTTGCTGAGGGCGACGGCCCAGCGCACTCACTGTCCGAATCTGGCTGCTGGGAAGCCGGGACATGCCCTTACCTCTCCATCTGGGTGTTTTGGGGTACCAGTGTCTTAACTGCTCTCACTGGCCTTCATCATGAGAGATCACAATAAAACCAGTGAAGGCGTTGCAAAAAACATGACAGGTGATTACACAGCCTCTCTGTTGCTGTTTGCAATTTACACCGCGTGTTTTAGAGCAGTTCTCTCCTTCAAATCAGAACAATACCAGGAGCCTTTGCTAATCAGCTGTATTTAAGGTTTCTGAATCAAATCTGTTTAAAAGATGAATAAACCTCCATTGCTTCTCTAGACATGTGCTTTGCCTCCTCGGCACACAAAAGCATCTCACACAGATGGTCTCCTGTGTCATCTGATGGAGTGCGGTCTAACAGCTGCGCCTTGGGTGGGATACAGCTCAGGTGCTGGTAGAAGAGGGGCTTGGCATGGTTAGCAGGGACCACGATGACATCAGAATACCCTGTGAATAAGGTTTAAAATCACCTGCTCCCAGAGCTCGTGGCTTTAGGTGTGCCTTTTGATCCTGGTTCTGACACTAACTAGTTGTGTGATTTGTGTGTCTAACCTCTAGATCTTATTTTCATGCTGTAAAATAATTAGATAGGCTGCCCTCAATCCTGAAGTCTCTTCTAGCTCTTAAAATCTGCACTACCAAGTACATACACTAAGACAGTTACACAAACAGGACATGTTACAGACCCTGTGCACTGGGATATGCATATAGTTTGTGTATAGAATTTGGTGGGTAATACCCTCCATGGGCACCGAGGAAGGAGAACTGTCCAGACCCCCGGCACAATTAGTGCCTGAGGAATATCTTAGTTTATAGTGTTATTACTCAGCTATTTCCTTTATATAATCCTTTATATATAATCATATATTCATTTATAGAATTAGTGCTTAAAGTATAACTTACTGCTTACGTATATCTAGCTTATATAATCATACTTAATACTTATACCTAACCTACTTAGTTCTATATAATTTTTCTATATAATCATATAGGTATTGTAGTCGGAGCTGCACCAACACATTTAGTGGTGATTTATAGAATCCTTCTGTATAACCATATTGTAGTTTGTAGTAGAGAATTACCTAGAGCAGTCACAGCACAGAAGCAGTACATGGGAAAACAGCCAGACCAGGACAAGAACCAAAGACCCAGGCGGTGGCGTCCCTGCCTGAAAGGGCATACGCTGTATGGCAGGCTTGGAGCAGGACCGTCCCCTCCTGATAGAGGAGTTGTAGTATCTTGCACCCAGCTCCTGTGGAAAGTCGGCCTCAGGCCTGAGATCCTGGAAGTAACCGAGGGAGAAGAACCTCTCTGGTGTGACCAGTCACGGCGGCTGGACACCCTGTCAGTCTTTCCTCACTTCTGTGCTAGCTCAAATCAGCCTCCCATAAATATCTTAAGAGAAGAGCACAAGTCTGTCAGCTCCCACTGCACTGGCTTAGAGTAGCCTTCTATTAGAAATCCTTTGAAGTCTCCAGCCCCCAGATAAGAAGTGTTACACATGACACCTGTTGCACGCAGCCCACCTCCTTGCCTCAGTGACCTAATGGGGGTGGACCCCTTTTCTGTGCACGGCAGGACCCCCTACTGCGCATGGCCCACCTCTCTGCCCAGCTGACATAATGGGGTGGCTCCCTCACTTGTGACTCACATGATTATTTATGCCCTATCACTAAGCCTGTAGATGATGACCTTACTCACGACCCTTCCCCTTGCTCGTACCTAATAAATACAGACGCTTACTGCGTATTCGGGGCCTCACTGATCTCCGCTCACAGGTGGCATGGTCCCCGAGTCCAGCTGCTCTTCACCAGTTCTTCAGTGTCCTGTCTCTTTACTTCTCGGATCCTGCACCTCAGCACAGCATAAGGGACACCCCACGACCCTGTGGGGCCAACATAATTTCATCTGTATAATTGAATCTTAGGTTTTTCATGGAAGAAGCATTGCTTTCTTGCAGTAAGAGCAATATTTTAGGAAACATTTTCTCACCCCAAAAATGTAGCTGATTAGCAGTTCAAAAGTCATTATGGGCTGGGCGCAGTGGCTCACACCTGTAAATCCAGCACTTTGGGAGGCCAAGCAAAAATAAACAGGTATAATTAATTCAAAATATTGCATTAAACTCAGCATATCAAAAATATCACTGAAACTTAGGATAAATATTTTGAAAAATTGAGATAGTTTACCTTCTTTTTTGCTGCAGAGTCTGAAACCTGTTATTCATACCACACTGACAGCTAGGGCAGGTGAGGGCCCGTGGGTTTGGGCCGTGTCTGGGGCTGAGTGGACCCGGCCTGACATCTTGGTCTTTGTTCCAGGAACTCTGTGGCCAAGACAGTCTGATGACAAGTTGGTGCCAACAGAGGCTGCCTAAGCCTTTGTGTCCACTCTGTGTGATCATGATCTAGAATTTTCTACAAAGGCTTGATGGGGAATTAGAATATTCTTCTGGAATAATTCCGAATTTGTATCATGTACCTTCATAATTTAGTGAGTAAATTCTGTATATGGTAGGTTGGTAGGATTCTCTCTAGCAGTGCTTTAGGTCATGAAAGCTATAGGGACTTAACATACATTATGTATTGCTTAGCGTTGGGGTGTAAAACTGTCGTTAGTGAACACCTTGGAGTGTATGTACTTAGTGGACACACCTATGCTTTGTGGTATAGCCATACAGGTATGGTGTGTAACTGTACTGAATGCTGTAGGCACCCGTAACACGATGGTAAGGATTTGTGCATCTAAACGTATCTCCACATAGAAAAGGCGCAGTAGAGATGTGGTCATGTGGGACCGTCCTCGTACGCGCACGCCCTCACTGACGGAATGTCATAATGTGGCACACGACTGTGTTTAATATTTGACCAAATGCAGTTTTCCAGGATAAGCCTGGAATCCAATTTCAATGGCTAACTATATTTCAAGGGCGGTGGCAAACAGGTGGCTCTGTGCGTGCCTGTTCTGCTTGGTGTGGCCCCTGCACTTGCACGCTTAGAAGGGTTCAGGAACTGGAAAGGGCGCCTGGAGCAGTTAGTGTGTGTGCTGAGGGGAGGGGAAGGCAGGGGGCCAGGAACCATTCATTTGCTGTCCATGTTAACACATTTGTTGCATAAAGTAATAGATAAAAAAGCACTTCCCTTTAAGAGTGTCTTAATTTTTACTGTGAAATGTGATATCTGAGAGAAACAAGAAAGGAAAATTGACCTTCATTGTACAGCTAACTTTTTTAAATTTAAATTTTAGTGTGCTCCTAAAATTGGGGATAAAACCATCCATCAATTACTACCAAGTAAGTGTTGCTTTTCTTCTTGTGTGTCTCCCAGGGACCGCCAGCAGGGCCATTTCAGCCCGTGAGCCAGCTGGGCGGCAAAGTGACCCAGTGCAAACCCCACTCCTATTTCACTTTTATCATTAAACGGATTTTATTTGCATTTTATTTTCTGTGCATGTTGAGTAGGAGCTGAAGGCTTCCTAGACCAGTGATTTTGAAGCACAGATTCGCGGCCTCTTTTGTGAGAAGCATGTGCTCCAGGGTCTGTCTGGCAGGGCGGTTGAAATCTGCAGTTTGAAGAGTCACATTCACTTTTATAACAGTCTTATGCTTGTTCGTGGTTTGTTTTCATGATAAAATTGTGATTTGTTTTATGATAAAACTAGAGACATTTAAGCACGACAAGATATTATAAGCTGGTAAGCATATACAAAAGGTTGTTTTTGGCCAGGCGTGGTGACTCTCGCCTGTAAATCCCAGGGTCCTGAGAGGCTGAGGCTGGAGGATTGCTTGAGGCTGGAAGTTTGAGAACAGCCTGGGCAACAGAGTGAAAGCTCTACCAAGAAGTAAAAGTAGCTGAGCCTGAGAGTATGTGTCTGTGGTCTCAGTTATTCAGGAGGCTGAGGTCAGAGGATTGCTTGAGCCCAGCAACGTGAGGCTGCAGTGAGCCAGGGTTGCCCCACTGCACTCCAGCCTGGGCAACAGCCAGATTGCCAGATTACATCTCTTAAAAAAAAAAAAAAGGAGTTGTTTTCAAGTCATGGTTGCCTGTTTTGGAAACAAGGGTATACTCCTTTCTTACCCGGGGATGCTCGTGCCACCACGGTGTAGCTGCAGCAGAGGCTGATGCGACAGCCACAAAGCCCGGGCCGTTTACTATCTGGGACTTTGCAGAAAATGTTTGCAGACCCTCGCCTTACAGAAATGTATCAGAGTCTTCGAGATAGTTTTCATATTTATCTCAGGTTGTGGATTTAGAAAAAGGTCGCAAGTCACTAACTCCAGCAGTTCTGGGTGATGGCTGGATGCTGAACAATTATTTTGGTTATCTTGACAGTCTGTGAAATAAATGGGCGGCAGTGTCGTTGCTCTCAGTGGCGTCTGCTCACTTGTGCAGCCGTTTTGCCGGGGTGGGGGAGCAGTGGACTCAAGGAAGGAGTCTGTCAGCCCTTTCCAGAACCATCCCCCTCACAACCCCAGGAAGCCGTGAGATGAGCGCAGCAGGGCCCTCACCGTCCTCACCTGGACTCCTGTGCGGATAGATAGGGGGATGTGCTTGCCGAGTTTGCCCTGATCTTGGTGCTCGGGAACTGATTGCAGTGGCGGTCAGAGCCACAGCGACCGCCTGTTTGCCAGGCTGCTTCCGTGTGCTAATGGTGCTTGGTGTCCCTTGAATACTCAGACTGGTGTCCCTTGAAAGGAGTTTGATTTATCGTCAGGAGAGATTTTCTGCTTTTGCATGCAGCATCCAGACACTTGTCTACTCACCTGTTTTATGGGAAAATCGGGGCTGCGGGAGTGCCCAGGAGAGCTGCCGACCCAGACATCTCCTGGGAAATACGTTGCTGAGATGGAGACCTGCAGCCTGTCCAGGCCCTAGTGGGGTTGTCTTAGTAGAGCGGAGCTGGGGCTGGGAGATGGGGGAGCAGTTGACTCTTGAGGGGGCTCAGAGGCAGAGCAGGAGGGCTGGGAAAGGGCTGGGTGCGAGCCGTAAGCATGAGGACCTCATCCTCCAGCAGCGCTGAGCTCTGAGCAGGCTGGGGTCTTTGCCTGTTGCTGTGGTTGCCTGGTGCTGGGGAGAGAGAGGGACAGAGCCCCTCCAAGCAGGCCACATGGTGGAGAAATCTGGGCCTATGGCCATGCAGCTGGAGAGGAAGGGACAGTGTGGGGAGCTTGGACTTGGCCGTTTGGGACAAGGGGATGGGAGAGACAGGTCCTGCCTGGAGCCTCCATAGGAGTGACATTTGCTGGGGTCAGCAACTTGGCAAGAGGAGGGTGATTCAGACCCTGTCGGGACAGCTCTCTGCGAAGTCCAGGAAGAGAGGTATGGATGGGAGGGAAGCCATGGGTGGAAAAGAAGGCTTCCAATAGAAGGCAGTGAAAACTTACCGTGCGAAAGAGGAGGCGGCGGCCGCGGAACTGGGGCAGGAATGGCAGCCAGCAGCAGGGCATCAGGGGAGCGGGCACTCAGGTGGCCCACGGGAGAGCTTCCCGGAAGCAGTGAATGATCTGGGCAGGCAGGCAAGGGTTCTGAAAGGCTCCTGCTGGAGCAACCCCAGCTCAGTGCCCCCCAAAGCCAGAGCAAGAGGCTGAGAGGATGCAAGTGCCCTCCTAGGTTTGACTCAGAGGCTGGAGGCAGAAGCAGCAGGGGAGCACTCCCTCAGTAGAGTGGGGAGGAGCCCTCATCCGTGAGGAGGTTGCAGCACAGAGGTCTAGGTTGGCAGTTCAGGACCACTAGGTGAGGGGTCCCAGGGTCTCTCTTCTGTGAAGGAGAACGTGTTCACCACGGGGAGGAGGCCAGGGGAGAGAGAGGCTTGAGAGTGAGGGCGAGAAAGCTTTGCGGGCCGTGAAAGGCAGAGTAGGAGTCTGTGGTTGAGGGTGGCTGTGGCAGGTGGCGTTTCAGGTGAGACAGCCCGGGAAGGAGTGGATGGGGCCCAGAGAGACCCTGGGAGGAGGCGAGCTCTGCCCTCCAGAGAAACAGGAGCAGAGAGGAAACAGCCTCGCAAACAGCCTGTGGTCTGGGAAGACTCCCAGGCTGCCAGCATCCCCTGCTTCGCTGGTGGGGGGTGGGGAGCTTCATTCTCACACCCGCGATGGCTCTGTCCGTGCCAGCCAGGGGAGAGCAGGACACTGCGACGGCTGCACTCGGGTTAGCTCAGAACTCTCAGGTCTTTCTGTTGAAGTTTAATTTCTAATGCACTTTTATTTAATATCAGGTTGCAGATTTTAAAGATGCCCTTGCCAGAGTATATAGAGTGATACCCAAAATCCACTGCCTTCCGCCAAGCCAGGTAGACAGTTACGTTTTCTCTTCCTTTTCTCAAGAAGACAAGTTCTCCTTTCCTGACTGCCTTGTCTTCACCATGCAGTTCCCAGGGGCAGATTTGTATTTGTACATCTGTGTCTGTATATGTGTGCATGTGCTGTGTGGGGATGTGTGTATGTACATGGCCTGCGCATCTGTGTTCATGTGCAGTGTGTGTGGGTGTGTGAATGTGTACAGGGCCTATGCATCTGTGTGCATGTGCAGTGTGTGTGGGCATCTGTATGTACATGGGCTTGTACATCTGTGTGCATGTGCAGTGTGTGTGGACGTGTGTGTGTGCATGGCCTGTGCATCCGTGTGCATGTGCAGTGTATGTGGACATGGGTCTGTGCATCTCTGTGCATGTGCAGTGTGTAGAAGTGTGTGTGTGTACATAGCCTGTGCATCTGTGTGCATATGCAGTGTGTGTGGACATATGTGTGTACACGGCCTGTGCAGCTGTGTGCATGTGCAGTGTGTGGGTATGTGGGTGTGTACATGGGCCTGTACATCTGTGTGCATATACAGTGCGTGTGGGCGTCTGTGTACACGGCCTGTGCATCTGTGTGCATGTGCAGTATGTGTGGGCGTGTGTGTATGTGTACATGGACCTGTGCAGCTGTGTGCATGTGCAGTGTGTGTGGGCGTGTGTGTGTGTGTGTGTGTGTGTGTGTACACATGGGCCTGTGCATCTGTGTGCATGTGCTTTGTGTGTGTACATGGCCTGTGCATCTGTGTGCATGTGCAGTGTGTGTGGGCGTGTGTGTGTATGTGGTCTGTGCATCTGTGTTCATGTGCAGTGTGTGTGGGCATGTGTGTGTACATGGGCCTTTGCATCTGTGTGCATGTGCAGCATATGCAGGCATGTGTGTGTGTGTGTACATGGCCTGTGCATCTGTGTGCATTTGCAGTGTGGGTGGGCATGTGTGAGTGTGTACATGGGGCTATGCATCTGAGTGCATGTGCAGTGTGGGTGGGGGTGTGTGTGTGTACATGGGGCTATGCATCTCTGTGCATGTGCATGTGAACATGTACACGTGGGTATGTGCTATATGTGTGATGTGTGGTTGTATGGGCCTGTTCTGTATTTACACAGGCCTGTGTCTGTGCATATGGGCTGTGGGCACACATGTGTGTCTATGTGAGCAGGCATGGTTCCTTGACACCATGCTAGGACAGGGTTTGTCTTCTTGCTCATCTTTATCAAGAGTGTGCCTGTTCTTTTAGCAACAGGGTACTGTTGCCTTTTTGGCCTATAAAACCCATTTCTTCTCCTAATATCTTGATAGGTATATTGTGTGCTGTTGTATCTCTGTGTGTCTTTGTAGATATGAAAATTGCTTATTAATTTTTCTCTAAGATAAAAGCAGAGGCTTTTTAACAGGGCTGCCAGGCTGGCCTCTGGTGGTGACCAGGAGCCCCAAGCCCCAAGCCCAGCTCCACTGCCACAAGCAAGTCACCTGGGGCTGCCTGCTCCAATTTAGCGTGCACCGGCCTCCTGCTAAATGGAGAGGTCTGTTCTTCGAACCTGGAGCCTGAGCTGTGGAGCCTCTGCTTTTGTTATCTTCAAGTTCTGAAAGTTCGTGATCATAAGACCTTGATGATAACCCAAGATCTGAATTCTAAAGTGTCTTTCATTGTTTATTTTTAGGATGAGGAAGTACAGACAATTGGTCAGATAGAACTGTGCCTCACTAAGCAAGACCAGAAACTGGAGAACTGCACTGAGCCGGGGCAGGAGCCGCCCCCCAGGAAGGAAGTCTGGCTGGCGGGTGGGGGCACCGAGAGCCGGGGTCTGCGGGTCTGTGAAGATGGCCCAGTCTTTTATCCCCCACCTAAAAAGGCCAAGCATTGATGCCCATGTTTGGGAACTTTTCTGTGTTTTAAAAAGCAAGAAAAATTCACAAACTGCAGCTTTCTATAAAACAACTCCAGAGTGAAGTCTCGCGTTTGCTTTTGAACAGCAAGCCTTTGTGTTTGCTCTGCTGTTTTCCTTCGATGCCTGCGAACTGGATTTTGTAGTCCATGTAGAGACGGCGTGTGTGTGAAGTTCATGGGAGAAAGGAGCTCTCCCACGCCTGAGTGGCTGCTTTGTGCTTGGGATAATAAAGCTCACAGATCGTTTTTTTCTTCTCCATTAAGCTCTTCAGTGCCCTGGTAGATCAGGCAGGCATGCTTGGAGTTTGGGCAGATGGCACCGATTCAGGGGACTCTCTTGCCCAGTTTTCCCCTCGGAGTTTGTTGCCTTCTTGGTGTGGGGACCCTGTCGGGACAAAGAGCGCTGCACATGGCAGGAGCCAGTGCCTGGTGGGCCTTGGGGGTGTCCCTAGTGCAAAGTGTGCCTGTATCAGGTGGCCAGAGCCCCGGGACATCATTCCCTAGCCAGCCGCTCCCTTGTCGGAGGCCTGGTGGGGTCATAGGCGTGTCCTGGAATGGTGACTTGCCGCTCCTGCCCAAGGAGATTTGGGTGTGTTCACAGAGCAGCCAGCCCCCGTCTCCATCAGTCTCTTCTGGGTTACTGGAAGGTTAGTTTCTGTCAGGCCCACTTCCTTCTTATCGGAGGGCAGCCAGATCCATGCACTGGTAAGTATTTAGAAATGTAAATGGAGTCCCCAGTGATATGTGCCAGGCTTTCATCGTGTGTTCCAGAAATGGGAGGCGCCCTTTACTTCTAGATCCGTGATGACGTGGCTATCGTGGCTATTGAGTCAAGCAGACTGCTGCCCCCACGGTCTCGGCCTGCCGTGCAGGGATTCCGCTCGCGTGCTGAGGCATCGGGGCTGTGCAGGGCGGTGCTTTCCATGCGTTGAGACCATCTGTTGGCGTTGTCTCCAGGTCGCCTGGCCTCTGCTCTCTTTAAATTCTTTTCTCTGTTTGTCTTAATCATGTTAACATCCTATTTATTTAATATTCTATTTATGTTTCATTCAACATACATTTAAAATCGAACTTACTCTGTGGCAGGCATTGTGTTCAACACATGGCATATTTAATCCCCAGAATAACCGTGTTGTCAACGTAATTTACAAAAAAGAAATTTAAAAAACAGCTGTATCAATGCCTGTGAAGGGCTTTACTCGCCCTTTTAAAGAAGAGATTTTCAAATTGGCTCAAACCAAAACCTCACTTCATAGTGTCTACCAGACGATCTGAAATGCAGAATGTTCAGAGAGAGACAAAGGTTCACCAAGCAGATAGGACAGTGAGAAAGCAGGTGTCGCAGCCCTGATCCCAGACTGGGTGGCCTCTGCCTCCCCCGCCAGCATTAAAGGAGACGCAGGAGGTCCTTGGCCCCTGGGAACGAGCTCAGGGAGCACCTGGCCAGGCCCGACAGCTCCTTCAGACAGACAGATGAGACCATCAGGGATTTGATGGAAGCTGTTCCTTTATTTTGTCTCTTCTGTAGTAGAGGGAGGCGCTCAGCCCTCTTCTGCAGCTGTGGGGAAGGCCAGTGGAGCCCGAGCATCCAGGGTCCCCATGCTGTCATTGTCCCTCCGCCCTCCTCTGAGCTCCTTTCTGTCCCCAGTGTTTTTCCATCAGCTTGGCAAGGCAGGACTGGTGGTTTGTGTCTGGATGCCTGGGAAAGGGTTTGATTTCCTGCATTTGCTTCGTGCGCTCAGGCAGTGGGTGTACTCCAGGGTGTGGGCCCTTAAGCCTCGGTGTCCTTTAAAAGATGGCATTTTTTTTTTTTTTTTTTTTGAGTCACTTTGCAAACACAGGGCTCAAGGCTAGGGTTTTATCTTCATTATTCCCAGATGAGCTGGTGGATTTGAACAGACTTCCTATTCAAATGGCATTGATTCTGTAGCCTTGGGGGATCCAGGAAAGCAGCCTCTCAGAGGCTGTCTTCGGTTGGCTGCCTTTGTGGTTTTTAAACAAGCCCTTCTTGTTTTTTAAGTAGCATGTATTTATTATGTGAATCTGAGCATTCGAGAGTGGACTGGGTCGCTAGCAGGGGCACATCCTGGTGGGAGGAGTGGGCTGTGGAGTCAACATGGAACATGTCACCTCTGCTAAGTGGAAGAAAGCACTGGAGAGGGGCTAGCACAGGCAGATGCTTGGATCCCTCAATATTTCTATTTTGACCTAGAGTTCATGAGCATAAGCGTTTGATAACCTGCATCAGGTCACGTAGTACAAGGCACTCATGAGCCTCAGGAGACAGGAGAAGGGGAAGAGTCAGCATTCAGGGTTCAGGGACGGAGATCAGGTCCAAGCACGTGTTTTCACATCATTGAACAAGGTGGTCATGTGCGTTTTCCAGATTCAACTCGGGAAGATGCAACTCTGCCACGTGGTTCTCACTGTAACACTTGGCAGAGGCGGTAGAGAAAGGCCTCCCACGTGAGTGGGGTCTGAGGCTTGTATGTGTGGAAGGAGGAGCAGGCCGGGCTCTGGGATCAGAGCTGGGGGTACGAGTGTCTCCCTCGGGGACAGAGGAGCAGGCACATCTCAGGATGCAGAACAGCCAGGAGGGGCAGCTGGCCCGGGTCTCGGCCAGGACAGGCCTCTGCCGGGAGCGTCTCTGCAGCACCGTGGAAAAGAGCACCCTGGAACGAGGCCACAGGGATGAGAGGAACAGCGAGACCAGAAGACGAAGTGCCCGTGAAACTCCTCCAGGTCAGCCGCTTATCGGCGCTGCTGCTGTGCCTGAGAGCATTTCTCCTGCCCAGGAGGGGGCAGTGCGTTGTCACTGGAAAGCAGTGCCTCCCTCTAAGCTAGTAGTGCAGGGTTATTCTGTGTTTGAATTACTCACCTAGCAATTGTATCATATTCAGAACTAGGAATCTAGTTCTAAGTACTAAGTACTTTTTTTTTTTTTTTTTTTTTTTTTTGAGACAGAGTCTCACTCTGTTGCCCAAGGTGGAGTGCAGTGGTGTGACCTCGGCTCACTGCAACCTCTGCCTCCTGGGTTCAAGTGATTCTGTTGCCTAAGCCTCCTGAGTAGCTGAAACCACAGGCACATACCACCACACATGGCTAATTTTTGTATTTTGAGGAGAGATGGCATTTCACTGTGTTGGTCAGGCTGGTCTAGAACCCCTGACCTCAGGTGCTCTGCCTGCCTCAGCCTCCCAGAATACTAGGATTACAGGTGTGAGCCACCATGCCCGGCCTAGGTATCTTATCTTTCCATTGAAACTTTCGCCTCTATCTCAGCAAATGACATCACCATCCACTTCTTCCAGGTAGAAACCTCAAAGTGAACTCCAAAACCTTTTTTTTCAGTTTTGCCTAAATTATGAAAGTATTCTTCATTATATTCCGTCTCTCCTTCTCCTTATTGACTTAGTTCAGAGCCTCAGTTTCCTGTCTGGGCCATGACTGACGGCCACCCCACCTGACTCAGTGCTGGATGCTGGCACTGTGTTTGTACCACTCTCCTTAACCCTAGCTCTCTGCTCCCCAATCACGCCTCCAGCCCAGCATGGTGGCTCATGGATCTTCCCTCAACTCCACCCGGCCTGTTGGCAGTGACTTCACCCACTCCCCTGTGGCCATGAGGGCTCTGCTGAGCACTTCTCCGGGCCTGGATTCTCCTCCGCACAGTTCGGGTGGCCTGGACTGCTCTGCTCATCTAGTTGAGCAAGTTCCATTGGATGTCAACACCCAGCTCCACGGCTGGCCCTTAAGGGTTCTCTGCAGTCTTAGGCGGCTCTGGGCCTCCATGCCTGGGGACCAGGGCCTCCACTCTTCCAGACCTTGCTGCGTTACGATGAAGGTGCCAGCTGGACGGCACAGGGGAGGGCTGTACAGGGTAGACACGGGTGTTGTGGCAGAGGTGAGGACAGGACAGCAGAGGCGGTGGGTGGGTGGTGGAGGTGAGGGCTGGGCAGTGTAGGTGAGGACTGGTTGGAGGAGGTGAGTGCTGGGCAGTGTGAGTGAGGGCTAGATGGCATGGGTGAGGGCTAGGTGGCATGGGTGAGGGCTAGGTGGCATGGGTGAGGGCTAGGTGGCATGGGTGAGGGCTAGGTGGCTTAGATGAGGCCTGAGCAGCGGAGGTGTGAACTGCACATTGTAGGTGTGGGCTGGGCGGCGGAGGTGAGGGCTGGGCGGCGGAGGTGAGGGCTGGATGGCGGAGGTGAGGGCTGGGTGGTGGAGGTGAGGGCTGGGTGGTGGAGGTGAGGGCTGGGTGGTAGAGGTGAGGGCGGGGCAGTGTAGGTGTGGGCTAGAAGGCAGGGAAAATGCCTGGATGACCGGGTAGAGGCCTGGTGGGAGAAGTGAGGTCTGGACAGTGGGGTGAGGCCTGGCTGGTATAGATGAGGCCTACACAGTGGGGTGAGGCCTGCATGTCTCCTACCGTTAAACCAAGAGCTGTCCATTGATTCATTCCACACTTTTTCAACACTTCCCATGAGCTGCCTCTCTCCTAGGCACTGGGCCATGGCCATGAGGGATCTCTTTCCTCTGGGAGCTCACTCTGGCGCCGGGCGACGGACAGTAAGGGAAAAGATAGCGTAGCTGCTGCATTTGATGGTGGTGGGTTCGAGGGAGGGAGAGAGGAGGTCAGGGTTATGAAGGCAGCCAGGGAAACCTTCCTCAGAACCTGAAGAAAGGGAGACAGCAGCCACGGGGAAGGACCTGAGGATTGCCCAGCTTCCTTCTGCCCCACGAGTGCACCCCGTGTCTCAGGCACGTAGGCTCGAAGCCGGCGTTCCCCAGTGATGGAGTGAATAAATGAATAAAATAGAAAAGAGAGGCCAGGCATGGTGGCTCACACCTGTAATCCCAGCACTTTGGGAGGCCAAGGCGGGTGGATTCCAAGCTCAGGAATTCAAGACCAGCCTGGCCAACACAGTGAAACCCCTGTCTCTACTAAAAATACAAAAATTAGCTGGGCATGGTGGCAGGCGCCTGTAGTCCCAACTACTTGGGAGGCTGAGGCAGGAGAATAGCTTGAACCCAGGAGGTGGAGGCGCAGTGAGCTGAGATCACACCACTGCATTCCAGCCTCAGCCACAACACAAGCGAGCATGTGACGCGGTGGTCCTGGTGGAAGATGCCTGCTGTTGGCTTCTCACTACGCCCAGATGAAGAAAACACAATGGCCTGGTTTTACTTTTTGTGTCTGTGAACTTTGGATCAGGAATAAAAATAATTTAATCCAGGTCCTAAGACAACTA